TATATTCATATTATTCTCAAGCTTATTGTAAATATTTTTCGACTCTAGTGCAATCTTTTCTGTAATCAGTTTTCTAATTTTCAATTGCATAAATATTTTAAGTTGTTCTCCAAGTTTCGACAAGTCAAGTTCCGCCATCATCGATGTTTTCACTGTTTTAAGAAGAGGAACATATTGTGAATCTGTTGAATTAGACGAATATGTAGTTTTCATACATCCTATTGATCCATACAATATAAGGAAGGCATGTACGCAGCCTTTAATTGAAGCCATGACTTCAATAACTTGTCTTTGTTTATTCTATACAAAAATAATCATTATGACTGTATGGCCCAATATGTCGTGTTTTACGAATTTATGACAAAGGAATTTGATGTGACACTCGTGATTAGAACTGTGCGTGTACACTGGATTCATTTTGAGGTGAAGGTTTAGTGTACTAAATGAATACTAATCGTTTCATGATAGATATTGGAGCTTATATATATAAAAAAAATCAAATTTACATCTAATTACTGTTACAGCTTATCATTTTTTTCTTCTATTTGTTTTAGAGTTTGCAGGAAGACCTAGAAAACCCAAAATTAAAGTGAAGACTGTGTATCGCTATTTTATGTTTTTTTCCTTTTTTGTGATAAATTTTTCTTATTATACTATTCGCTTGAGTTAAAAAAAAATCGCTACTTACTAAGGCCCGTTAACAAAGGCGGCGTATTAATCTCAGTCGAGAGAAAGATACTGTATGAAGTCATGAGCCTACGTCATTGATGTTCCCTAAGAAAACAGCAATAAACAGATTATCTAAGGTCTTTCACACTCGAAGATGCTTCTTGGCTACATCCTATCCCAGGATTTCGCCTTTCGGTGATACTGTACCTGAGAAAACACACTTTCGTTTGAAATATCATCGAGTATCTATTATTTCTTATTTTTATATTTATAAACAAAAATACTTCTCACTATGATATCACTGATATATTGTTTTTGTTACGCTCAGGAATCGACCATAAGAATTAAGGAAATCTGTAGCTTTTGGTTTGTTTTGTTTACACGTACATTTTTAAAACCCCTTTGAATGCTCATTAAGTTGTCACTACGTCTTTGTAAATAAAGACGTAGTGACAACTAACATCGGTATGATCACCTTTTATGATACATGCATATAGTTTCACTACGAGTTGGAGCGAATGTATGTACTTTTTGCAGAGGATAAATTGTGTGTGTGTTTGTTGTAACTTTAATACTTTTCAATTTTACCTACCCGTAGAACAACATTCTTAGGGTTCCTTTTTTGGAATTCAAATGGAAAACTGTCAGGTCTTTTAAATTAAATACATTTTCCCTAAAGGAATCCAAATAATTCATCCTCCGTCTCATTTCATTCACATTACATATCTTGTTTAAACAATATATTGTTTCATATATTCTGGTACTGAAAATGCATAAAATGTATGTAGCTGGAAGTCAAGCAACGTCATTGGATGAGTCATGTTTCCAAATGAGGGCAATCTTTTAACATATTAACTTTATAATGTTGATGTATAGTAGAAGACGATCATATAACTACCCTCATGTTCGTGCAGTTTCAACAGTAATACCGTCGTTAACATTAACGTTTCGTATATAAAACTCTCAACTTTTTCAGAATGATCATTCGCTTGGCAACAAAGAATAAAGACAAAGTTTTGTTCTATTATATTGTTTATTTATGTACTTCTCTGTTCTGAATGTTCTTGTATTTATTTGTACTGTATTCCTGTCACGTAATATGTCTTTTAGCGGTATTTTTAACATTGCCATATAAGCGAGAGGTTTGGCTAGCCATAAAACCAGGTTCAAACCAACATTTGTTTGTTTAAAATGTCCTGTACCAAGTCAGGAATATGGCAGTTGTAATCACATAGTCCGTTTCTATGTATGTTGGCGTTTGTTTTTGTAGCAGTTCAGTGTTTCTGTTGTTCCGTTTTGTTTCCTTTTATAGTTGATGTGTTTCCCTCAGTTTTGGTTTGTGACCCGGATTTGTTTTAGTTAAATCGATTTATGACTATTGAACAGCGGTATACTACTATTGCCTTTATTTATAGGTATATATTTTACTCTGAGGCAAGAAATTATAGAAATAGGAAAATAACAATAAATTCGCACAAATTAAGAAATATATAATACATGTTTATAAGTCAGTTTTATAACTATGATGGATTTTAAAGCATGTTCTCGTATAATCCCAGAATCAGATGTTCCTACTGATAGTAATAAAGGTGCTTGTTGTTTTAGAAAGTTGTTAAATATGTGTGAATATTTTGGTAATATTATAACCAAAAAAATCTAAAATGTAATGACAAATCCAATAGTCATGAACAATTTTGTTGTCGGGCCATGTTTAGCTGCATATGAGGTTTACCTTTTGCTCATTGATGGAGGCCGTATAATGATCCTCAGATGCTTACATCTATGTCATTGGCAATCATAAAACATCTTTTTAATTCAATATAAAAAGGAGATGTTGTATGATTGTCAATGAGGCAACTATCCCCTAAAGTTTAAAGTGGGTGTAGGCAATTCTAGTAACCGTACGGCATCAACAACGCGAAACCCACATCCCGTTTAATCGTCCATAAAAGGCCCAGAAATAAAAAAAAAAAAACAATTCAATTGAGAAAACTAACAGCCTAATTTATAACAAACCAATTTACGAAAAACAGTTTATGACAGATATGAACCAAGGACAACCGATGACCTACAATCTCCAGACTTGGTACAGGCACATAAAGAAACGGGGTTCATTAAGTTTTTGCTTGGTTTTATTGTATTTATGTGCTATATGTTTAATTGCCATACTCAGCCTTCTAATTTATTCAGAAATATATATACAGATGAATGAATCTGTAGAAACCCCTTTTTTTGTATAGAACTTAATGTAGCAAAATTTACAAGGTAAGTAAGGAACATGGTCCGGAGATTTTATAGGTTAAATCTGAACATTTTTGTCCCATTTGTATGTGTGTTGAAGGCATGTCTTTTATAGTAACTGTTTATTTTAGTTGAAACTTTTACTTTTATAGAATTGCGTATACATATCATTTGTTATGACAACAAATAACTTAATAATTTGGCAGAAACATTCATTGGCTATTCCCTTAAATATGTCCTTTTTTGTATCAGATAGATCCTAGCTTTACTACGTATGTATACAACCCGGACCTTAAAATGTGTAGGTATGAGGGTTTCTCATGATTGAATCTAGAAAAGCCCTTTAGACGCACGAAAGGTTTTAAGTGTTATATTCATATATAATATACGATGCATTATATACGATGCATTATATACATGCTATAATGATATACTTAGAGTAGAATTACTTCATTTTCATATTTATTTTATTTTATAGAGTTCCACACAATTTATTTGTTATACCATATGCACGATAGAAGACATTGTGATGACAGGAGTGTATGTTTTGTCTACGCTATCCTGATGACTGCTGTACCCATATTTTGACTATTTTATTTATTATGTCTGCTTTATTCACGCATCGTTGTTGTAAATATAACGGAATTTGACGAGACTGTCGTACAAGTGAGAGGTTTAGCGCTATAAAACCAGGTTCAATCCACCATTTTCTACATTTGAAAATGCCTGTACCAAGTCAGGAATATGACAGTTGTTGTCCATTCGTTTGATGTGTTTTGTCATTTGATTTTGCCATGTGATTAGGGACTTTCCGATTGAATTTTCCTCGGAGTTCGGTATTTTTGTGATTTTACTTTTTTCTGATACACTAAATGTCCAATAGAATGTTGATTTATTTTTGTATTATTATATTTTCTGCTTGTGTATTTTATATAGGATCACCCGATGTAATGATAGGGGAAAAATGCGTCCAATGTATACAAAAGCTATTTAGGAAGCAGGATTTCTTTTAATTTTAGAGATTTCAAGCCACCAAATAAACAAATTAATTTGAAGGTTCTTCGAAGGAGTGAAAATTTTGACAAAACAAGTTTTTCCCAGGAATTTATACTTCGAACAAATTAAACTTTACTTTCTTGCCGACGTTATTGCTCACACATTTGTTTCGTTAGTCTAACGGTAGTTGCGTGATTGGTATGTATGTCCCATCTGTTTATCATATATTAATTCAAATTAGTTGTCTATATTTTCTAGAGATTTCTACTTTTTCTAAATAAAAAAAAAGAGGCCACGTTTATTAACGTTGGCAACTTCTTATAGATTTATTGATTTGTGTATTTTGGGGTTGAAACAGATATTCCATTGTTCTGGTTTTCGACCTGAATCCAAGAGTACAATTAAAAAGCATTTTAGAGTCAATCCGCCGACAACTGCTTTTAAAAAAAATATTTACCTAAACTGTTTCAGTATTCAAATATAACTATCATGTCATAATCACCATTTCGAAAAAAAATCAAAAGTTCAAATGATTAGGGAATAGATGTTTCGTTAACGTATTATTTACCAAAAATCGCTAGTTATCGTAAGCACGCAGGTTCCTCCTTCAGTGATACTGACCGCCATTAAATTGTCTAGCTGGATATAGTTGAGAAGCCATCGTTATACTAATAAAGACATGCACATACCATCATTGGTAAAACATGGAGCTCAATATTTGCAGCTATGCTTTTCGGTCATTTTATTTTGAAAAAAAACCAGACGAGGACCTGAAAAAACTAAGATACTTTTTATGTTGGCCTTATATATCGGTAAGGTGGGTCATAGGTATATATATTATTTAGATAGAATTGTTAATATTTTGCTTATATTAACCTATTAGTCGTACAAAATTGTCTAGGTTTGCATACATGTAGATTATTCAATAAAAACTCCCACTTTTTTTTCTCGAAAAAAGTTTTTTTTTTTAAATGACTAAGTTGAAAAATTTAAATTTTATCAAACAAAAACAAATACTAGTATTTAAAATTTATTAAAACTGTCAAAATAATGCAATAAATCGCAAATTGTTCTTTACCCAAAATAGACAGTTTTACACATTAATTGACAATCTGTCTCAACACTGGAAAAGAACTAGACCAATTGTGTACTGATATTTTACAATCCAAGATGGTGGTATACAGTTATTCTTCTTTAACGGAAAATAATTGTCTGTCCCTGCATAATCCTATGATGACCACATACAATTTTCTTGTACCTGACATCTTCCAGGAAACAATAGACTAGTCGATTAAAACTAAAACCTAAATCCTGCAGGATATCCATAGGCTGTATTACTGCCAACTCCATATACAATAACTCCATAAAATGCATCCTTCGACAAATGACGTATTTTGTAAACTGAATGACCACCCATTTTCTTTACAACAGTTATAAAGCTTTCATTACGCGCCATTATAACAGTGGATTCGACAGCTAAACGATTACCGACAAATCTAAGTCCGTCGACGTCGGATGATTTAATTATGATCGATATGTAACTTGTATGAAAGGGATCCTTTGGTGGTGCAATTATATAATCTTTTGAAAAATGTTCGATTCCTGGAAGAATCATCATGTTTATTCCTTTGTTTTCAGTTATTGTATAAAGAGATAGGAGGATCGGATTGGAAGCAGATACATAATAGGACTTTGCAGATAAATCTACCTCGGTCAGATCTCCATGTTTAGTAATTGACACCCCTGAATAATCCTGTATGGTTATGGTGGCATTTTTATTTCGGCTAACTATTCTAATGCTATATCTGGACGCCTTATGGATTAGGGGTATTATAAAATGTCGAGACCATTTATCAACAGGAATCAAACTTTCATATACAATATCTGAATAATAACTGCAATAACGTAAACACTTAAAGTCTTTTTTTAGAGAAGCATACCTATTTCCTGAAATGACGACTATCGGTTTATTTGCATAGATTTTCGTTGCAGTTAGATGGTTATCAGTCTGAATATGAAAGCCTTCTAAATAATCAATAACTATAATAAATTTTTGTCGAGGTTTGATAGTTGTGCTTCCAATTGAGATACTTCTCACTGATGCAGACTCTATGACAACTGTAGTGTTAGTTTCTGTTGCCATTATACCACAGTTTTGTTTGTTGTTTGGTTGAGTAATAATTGAGTAATCCATTCCTGAAACAGTTGCAGGCAACACAATTAAACATGACGATTCACAACTAAGGGAACAATGCGATTTGCCAAAGAATCCAACAACAGTAATTAATTGATCAGACTGAATGAGAACGGTTGCATATGTTCTACCTATTCCCAACATCAATACTGAACTTGGAATGTCAATGTATGCAACACCTGTTGTAATGACTACCGATCTATTGATGTCGGCGTATTCAGAAAGAAAATCAACTTTAGTCTGTTGGTCTGTTGTAATAATAAACTGTGCATACACATTGTCTGGGTGGTCTAGTTGTATTGGGATCATTGTGAAAAATAACGTTCCTTTGTGATCTAAAAAAGAGAAAATGTCGTTTCAAATTCTTATAACATAAGCTGTTTAAAAGATAATTCATAATGGATACCATTTCACTTGCCTTAAAAGCAAAGGCATTATGTAAATGATTTTGAAATATCTGTTTGAGCAATGTGCAGACAGATAGTCAGTTAACACATTTGTTACAATAAAATTGCCAATTAATTAAATGAATAACATCTCTTTATATTATAAATGTATATAGACTCATGAAAAGATATAATGAACAGTTTAAGATGGCGTTATTTCCGTCTCATTAGATGACATAGTTTGGTACCGATCATGTTATCACTAGCACTGAGTCGATATCTCTACTGGTGGACTGTTAGTCCCGAGGGTACCATTAGCTCCATCATCCATAGCTCTGATTCTTTGTCTGGGTTTGGTTTTACTTTTGGTCCTTTTTTTGGTTTTATCATTTTTTCAACATTTGAACTAGTATTAGATCTTATGAATAATAGTTTGGCCTCGGGCATCACTGAAGAGACATTAATTGTTGTAATGCACATCTGGTGCAGTAAAAATAGTTCCGTTAATGTTATTGAACTTAAATACAGTAACTGGAAGTATTCTTTGATATGAAATTGTCTAATACTACTAGGGGATGTTAAACAACCTGAACTACCAGTGAAGGTCTTGCACTGTCTTTTTTCTAATATACATGATATAAAATTGAGAATGGAAATGGGGAGTATGTCATAGAGACAAAAACCCGACCAAAGAGCAGACAACAGCCGAAGGCCACCAATGGGTCTTCAATGCAGTGAGAAAACAACCCGCACCCGGAGTTGGTCCTCAGCTGGCCCCTAAATAAAATGGTGTGCTAGTTCAGTGAAAATGGACGTCACACTAAACTCCAAAACATATAAATTAACTTAAATTAAAAGACATACAAGACTAACAAAGGCAAGAGGCTCCTGACTTCGGACAGGCGCAAAAATGCGGCGGGGTTAATCATGTTTTGTGAGATCTCAACCCTCCCCCTATACCTCTAACCAATGTAGAATAAAGAAACACATAGCAATACGCACAGTAAAACTCAGTTTAAAAGAATTCCGAGTCCGATGTCAGAATAGGTAACAAAGGAAACTAAGCAAAATGACAATAATAAATATATTAACAAAGGGCTACTAGCAGTTACTGACATGCCAGCTCCAGACCTCAATTAAACTGATTGAAAGATTATGTCTTCATCATATGAAAATCAAGTACAATCCCTCCCGTTAGGGATTTAGTATCATACCATCATAAAATATATGAGAAGAACATAACCCGTATCATGCCAACAACTGGTTTTAGAATAAATGTGTTTATTTCCGATGCAAAGACCCTATGAGTGAATCAATATTAATACCAAAATATGCAATCCTTAATGACTTGACAACAGTATCGTAACTATATCCTTTCCGAATAAGTCTGTTTAAAGGTTTCGTTAGCTTTTGAGGTGAATGCCGACATTTTTGTGCTTTGTAAAGAATATTACCATAAAATATTGGATGTGAAATACCTGAACGTATCAGATGTCTGCATGTTGATTTATATTTACGAATGATGTCCTTGTACCGATGATAAAATTTAGTAAATGTTTTGACTAGTTTGTGATATCAAAAACCCTGGTGTAATAATTTTTCAGTAATACAGAGATTTCTTTCGTTGAAATCAAATACGTTGTTATAAACACGAGCGAATCGAACAAGTTGAGATATATAAACACCATAAGATGGCGACAAGGGAACGTCACCATCTAAAAATGGATAAATAAAAATAGGAAATGAAAAATCATCTCTTTTATCATAAATTTTGGTATTAAGCTTCCCGTTAAAGATAAAGATATCAAGATCCAGGAAAGGGCAGTGTTCATTGATAGTATTAGCTTTATTTAAAGTCAGTTCGGCAGGATAAATCACTTGAGTGTACTTACTGGAGTGGTTATTATTGAGAGCTAATATATCATCTAAATATCTAAAAGTGTTATTAAATTTTTGAATCAGATGTTGTTTCGATGGGTCTTTGCTAATTTTAGTAATAAATTGTAACTCATAACAATACAGGAACAGGTCCGCAATAAGTGGTGCACAGTTAGTCCCCATGGGAATTCCGATAACCTGATGATATACGGAATCTCCATAGCGAACAAAAATGTTATCTAGTAAAAATTCAAGGGCAGTTATAGTATCAAAGCAGGTCCAATTGACATAGTTCTTTTGCTTGTTGTTACTACAAAATGAACATATATATTCGCATTCCGACTTTTAAAATGCCCATTTAATCAGGTGTGTGAATGTTTTCTTAATAAGATGATGAGGCAACGTGGTATACAGGGTAGAAAAATCAAAACTTTGAACAGATTCGAAATCACCAATATAAGCATGCAATTAATCAAGTACTTCCAACGAATTTTTGACACTCCAAATTAGTAATTAATTTTACTATTTTCAAAGGCCTTATTTGAACAGTATATTACCAGGTTTTTGATTGTACCAAGTGTACTAGTAAGTAGAATAGATAGTTTAGAAGTGGAACAATGGCTTGAAGACAAAAAAATCTATATTTGTAAGGAGTTTTATGCAGCTTCGGAAGCCAGTACATAGTTGGAACTTTCATTGTATTTGGTTCTGCTTGTAAAGAGGTAGCTAAAAGTTTATGTTTGTTACATATGTCATTTTCCGAAAATGGAGTCAGTTGGAATGTTGGTGAATTCATGATTTCCTTTTGTAGAACATCAATGTAAAATTTACGTCAAACAATAATGATACTGTTAGCAGCCTTATCAGCCGGTACAAAAATATATTCCTTGGCGAGTTCTTTTAGCTTATGTTTGATACGGGAAATTGGGCTATTACGGTTGTTGTTAGGAGTAAAATGATCTTTAAAATGTTGAATACGTATATCAACTATGTTCATTACCGAATTAAAAAAAAGAATCTAATGATTTCTTGTCAGCTTTTTCTCGTTTTATCCATTTAGAGCAGTAAGTACGGAGTGAGTCGTGGATGATGTTACGACACTCATTCCAAATAATAATTGACAGGGGACGATATTTAGGTCCTTTACTGAGGAATGATTTCAACTCTCGGTCACGAACGATGTTAAGGTCTCCTGTTATAACATAGTTTAACTTAAATCTGTATTTCGCTGTTATTATTAGTAGTATATATGTTGTCTAATTTACGTAGTCATAACACGTAATTTGTATTAAATGATAAGAAACGAAACACGGAATGGTATCATTACCTTTGCCATACGTTTCGGATGAAAGTTCATCTTCCTGTCCATTTCTGTCATATGATTGATCTAAAGTAAAAATAATTTTAGTTCCTTTATTAAGTAATCAGCTTTACATTATATCATATGCATATATTTTTCAACAAGAATATTACTATTACTGTCATTTTTATGAATGTTGTGGATACATTCTCATAATTGGCTGAAAATATTTTAAGTGCAACATGTGCAATGTTTGGTTACCATTTAGTATTAATACTTACTCGTTAAGTTTTGGGAAGCAAACTATGGCATTGTTAGAACCCAACCTGCACACATGAATCAGTGATACTAGATGTATGTAAATATTGAAAGACTTCAAACGGGCTCTTAGCTTGACATACACATGTATATAGTGTGGACTAACATATATTGTTAAAAAACCACATTGAAACTTTAAGATGTGCAATATAATGTTATTGTGTGGTTTTTGTATCAAAATTGCAAGCCCGTCATCACTTTGAATTCAAATGAATGTTACGTTTAGTTAAACATATGGTTTTTTTTAAGATTTGGCAAAACAAAAATACACATGTTATTTAAACAGAAAGCAACGATGTGTATTTTGTACCGTATGTGGACTCCGGTGGTATGAGTTTTAAAGTTTTCCAAGCACAAACATGATAAAATATTAGTTTATAATTCAAAAATATCCTTGCTATAATTCACCATCATTAATATTTTTAATAAAACAGTGTGGAATTTTGAGGCAATATATATTCTTTTCTTTGTGAAAATAAATATCATAAATATTGAATAAAATAAAAAGGTGAGTCGATACTGCCAGAAAGTAAATAACAACTATTTGTCCAATAATGACGATAAATACCGTGGTCAAATGAAAAAAAAACATTGTTAGACAGCAGTCCTGAAACACAATGAAAAAAAAAAAACAGAAGACAACAATGGAAAAGTGCCTCTGAATAGCCCCGAGTTTAAGCATTTTATGAATAACGAAGTAAGACTGGATTAAAATTAACTGTTGTGGCAATCACAATTCCCTTTTTAATGATACAGTTTCTGAACGTAAAGTTTAATTTTTTTAAAGTACTAAAATATAATGAAAATATACAAAATATAGCCTTTAATTTTCATATCAATATAAGCGGAAATGTTCACATCAATATCTTCAATCTAATTAAAAATCTTACAACAGAATTGTGAGAAATTGCTATTTAAAGTCCATACAAACTTTTATCTGATTCATTTTACGTGTCGTAAGACAGTTTATTGATCTATTTATCCAATATGTCGGTACTAGCATGAACAATCGAAAGATGATTAATTGATTTTGCTGTTAAAAACTTTCGACTTTTGTTTTAAATTAATAAAAATATATCCTTCATGCAAAGCTCTGATTCATATTCCGGATTTGGCTATACTTTAAAACCTTTCAGAATTTCATATTCTATTTGGTCTTTTTTAAGTTTTTACGTTTTCAAGTCAGAAATATAACTGTTGTTTTCAATTTGCTTGATGTGATTGAGCTTTTGATTTTGCCATTTGATTAAGGACTTTCTTTTTTAAATTTTCCTTGGAGTTCGATATTTTTGTTATCTTACCTTTTTACCTTTTCGATTCGAGAGTTACTGATGAGTTTTTTTAATGGAAACGAGCGTCTGGCGTACACAATGTAAATCCTGGTCTCTATGATGAGTTTATTAGGTTCTTAATGGTTTTATTAGCTCTTCAATGTTTGTATCTGTTTTTTTTTTTTTTTTTTTTTAAATACTTTGGCCCTGAGCGTTACAAAAGAGACATTAATTGTCCAGATGCGCATCTGGTGCAGTGACATTAGTTCCGTTGATAATGTTACTAATCTATATAGGTACTATATATGTAACCCAGAATCAGCTAATGAGTCCTACATGCATAAAAAGTTTCATAAAAATCCGATAAACAACGCATTTACTAATGCTAAATCTTCATTAAAAAATTTTGAAAATCTTTAAAAAAGATGTTATCGTGCAACTCGGAATGGCTACAGTGATAGTTATACCATTCACTTACAAACATGCAATATATTTATGTTTTGTCGTTTTATTTCTCTATGTTCTTCTTATGCAAAGGTATTTTAAATACTACCAATAACTTCATGTTTACCCATGATGATTGCAGTTATAAACTACATAAAATACACTATGAAAAGTCTGAAACGAGAAATAACTCCATTATCAATGGATTAATATCAAGTCAATTTTCTTTCATGCTAAGGCAGTATGGGAAGAATTACTATCTATCTCATAAAGTACGACACTTTGTTTAGACACACAATTAGTAAATTATCAAATTTTTTGGTGAATCATATTTTTTATTAGTTGCATATTGATTAATATGTGGAAGGCTACCCAACTGTTAATAGTTATCAAAGGTACCAGGATTATAATTTAATACGCCAGGCGCGCGTTTCGTCTACATAAGACTCATCAGTGACGCTCAGATCAAAATAGTTATAGAGCCAAACAAATACAAAGTTGAAGAGCATTGAGGACCCAAAATTTCAAAAAGTTGTGCAAATACGGCTAAGGTAATCTATTCCTGGGATACGAAAATCCTTAGTTTTTCGAAAAATTTAAAGTATTTTCAACAGGAAATTTATTAAAATGACCATATAATTGATATTCATGTCAACATTGAAGTGATGATTACTGGCCTGGTGATACCCTCGGGGACGAAACGTCCACCAGCCGTGGCATCGACCCAGTGGTGTAAATAGTTATCAAAGGTACTAGGATTATAATTTAATACGCCAGACGCGCGTTTCGTCTACATAAGACTCATCAGTGACGCTCAGATCAAAATAGTTATAGAGCCAAACAAATACAAAGTTGAAGAGCATTGAGGACCCACAATTTCAAAAAGTTGTGCCAAATACGGCTAAGGTAATATATTCCTGGGATACGAAAATCCTTAGTTTATCGAAAAATTTAAAGTATTGTCAACAGGAAATTTATTAAAATGACTATATAATCGATATTCATGTCAACACCGAAGTGCTCATATAAAAATTAATTTCCATCCATAGTTCCCTGATTGTGAGAAATGTAGTATCACATAAACTTGGCAAAGTAAACATATCAATTTGTTATTATATTAGGATATAAAGAACACTGGAAGCGTTCCAACTGCTGTATAAGTGTAATTATTTGCTTAATTGAGCGTTAAAAATAATAATTAAAAATGTTTTTACCTTTCAGATGTTTTGACATTCCTTGGATCTTGCCCGACAATTGTCTTAATTTTCTCCTATCTGGGTTATAAGCATTGCTTTTGTTATAGCTCTCCGAAAGAACGGAATCTATTTCTCTTTTTACATTTTGTAAGTTAGATCGGATATCAGAATGCATGATTGTCCGAAAGCGACGCACTCGCTTTGCAAATGTTTGATTAAGTTTTCGTTCAATGATCATTCGCATGGTAATCGACGTATTATGAAGCACACCATCAGTATAAGCATCCATAGATGTTTTGAAATTTTCAATTGCCGAGCTTATTTTATTTTTAAGCTTAAGGTGAATGTTTTTAGACTCCAATACAATCTTTTCCGTAATAACTTTTCTAATTTCAATTTGCATAAATGATTTAAGTTGTTCTCCAAGTTTCGACAAGTCAAGTTCAGCCATCACCGGTGTTTTCACTTTGTTAAGGAGAGGAACATATTGTGTATCTGTGGAGTTAGACGAAGATGCAGTTTTCAGATATCCTATTGATAAATAAAATATAAGTAAAGCATGTATGCATCCTTTAATCGAAGCCATGACTTCAATGTCTTGTCGTTCTTTACTTTGAAACCAGAAATGTATGTTCCGTATGTCGAGTTTCACGTATTTATAAAAAGGGAGTATGATGTGCCATTAATAACAGAACTTTGCTTGTGTACTAGATTCAGTTTGAGGTGAAGGTTTATCGTCTACTAAATCACTACTTAGAATGAAAGAAATATTGTTAAAATAAATGACATGATCATTAAGTACATCACTACATACAATAACGTTACACGATTTTAGTGATGCGCAATAAGATATCAGAATTTAACACTAATCAAAGTTATCATCAAGAAAACACCCATTTTAATACGTTTCTATCATCAAGATTATAAACAGGTTCCATGTATTCAACGTACACTTAATAATAATTCCCAATCAAAATGAAAGCAGTAGGTAAATACATTTTGATAACTGAGAAAGTTGTAAATGCATTAAAGCTTGATCAAGCAATAATATGCGCTTCCGGACATAACGCATTCTTTTTAAAACTCGAATAAGACCAAACAGAAGACATTTCATCTGCAGTAAATATGTTAAGGAATTGTTTTAAATTTCGTTTTAATTCACAATTTCCTAAACAATGCATACATATGGCAAATTAGTACTTGGTTGTAAAATGTAATCAAATCACACAGAACTTTATTTCATGTAAAGTGAAGTAAAGGAAATGGTACCTTTGTTGTAGTCCAATATACATACCTACTGAACTACCGCTGGATATTTAGTCAGAACAAATTCCCCAATAACCACAATCCAACGCTTCGAAATAATGGCTTTTTTTAAGGCAGATGGCAATTCTGTAAGAAAAAAAAATTCCGACGTCATCGTTGCATTGACGGACTAATATAAAGGTAATAAGTCGTAGAATTGTAAGCGACGATCATTTTACCAGATTTCTTCCTATGGTGATGTCTGATAACATGGATAAGCCTCTCGATGATAGTTTTCTTGACATAGGTAAAATAAGATATGTAAGAGTTGTAAGCTTGATTTGAGAAGCTCTTAAACCAGAACGAGACGCTTGCTTTCTTGCTAAAACGGTACTTCTAAAAAGTCAATGCACCAAGCTCTAAACCCAGAGGTATTACATTTTCCAAACTTTATTTAAGATGAAGAGTATCTCTCGAGTGTGATGTAAATCATTCAAGTGGACAGAAGTAGGTTGGAGCTTATTGGGCCATTTTCAATAAAAGGCATCGGTGGTACCCTCAAAGTGACACTCAGACTAACATGGTTCACCACTTGCGAAATACGCTCATAAAACAGAGAGCTTATTATGCACTTGTATAACCTAGTGTACAAAAATATAAGGTCCCAAAACATGCAGCCAGAATAAGGTACTAGTAGTTAATTGGCCTTTAATTATGACTTATCAGGAGCCATGACTCTGTTTAGAAGAATTTCCAAAATCGCGACTCACAATTTAAACAAAGATACGTTTAGACTTCAAATTTATTAGAAGATCAATATTGCATTTTTAAAAAAAAATATTGGATTGGTTTTTGACCAATAACTGGTTGTTTCCCTAACTGACATAGGATTATAATGAGACAATGGGGTTTTCTTCTTTTTTTCAACTTAATTCAGTAATGTTGGTTGTTGGTTGCTGTATTTTATTGCAGTGACCTGGGCTATTCTTCCTCTCTTGAAGAATTTTTTTTATAAAGGCCTTGGGATCAATACATTTAACGGGTGCCACACAGAGTGATGTTCAGTCTTACGCACCAATGTATCACATTCCAGGGTTTTGACTCATAGCAACGTGGAGAGGGGTATGTTTAGGTGGCGGCTGACATCCTGTCTTTTCGATAAAGCAGTGATACTGCACATGCAAAGCAAGAAGACATAGTTTGTCTCTGTCAGTGCCCAAAATAAGGTTTTATTTGTTACGGAAAAGGCAGAATTTTTGTGCTAGAGAACAGAAGCGACCATTTCCCAAGATTTTAAGAGAGAGGTTGATGAACTCAAAATCGCCTAAGCTGTAGATAGTCATAGTGTAAAAACTCTCACCTGGTGAGAGAATTTCAATGATCTATACAAAAAAGATACCAAACGTATAATTTTGTACGCCAGACGCGATTTTCCTCTACAAAAGATTCATCAGTGACGCTCGAATCAAACAAAGATAAACGGCAAAATGAAGTACGAAGTAGAAGAGCATTTAAGAACTAAAAACCTGAAAGATTATGTCAAATATAGTAAAGGTAATCTTGTCCTGAGGTCCAAAATACTGCGTTTTTCAAACAATTCAAAGTTTAGTAAACAGTGCCCTATAAATATAACTATACAAAGGATTATTCATGCCTACACAGAAGTGCAGACTGCTGGGCCTGTGAAACTCAGACCTCATCATAGATATCAGGCGTAAAATTTTGTTCGGCAAACGCGCGTTTTGTCGTATGTTTTTATCTTGATTTTCAATTTCGGAGAGTAGAAGGGACACAAATGAACGTTTGGGGCCAAGGATTGGAGTTTTGTAGAACATTTTAGAATTTGCTCATAATGTTTCGAAATGCATAAGTCCAAGAACTATAAATGACTTGCGTCAGAGTTTTTACATAATGACGTCACAGTTACGTTATAATTTCCTTTGAAAAGATCGTGCGCAGCCAAGAAAAACCTGAATCATTTCAGATAAGCTTTATCATGTTTATTGTATCAATTCAAAAAATCTCCCAGAATTTTAAGTTGTTTTTTGGGAGTGCACGTACTTTTTTAATTCGTTATATTCTTAAAAGTGGGTGTGTAAAAAAAAAAAAAACACCTTTTTAAGCTTCGTTTGTTTAGGACAAATTTAAAATCATGTATGGTAACTTTAAAATTTGCATAAATATTTGGGCGAAATAAGGCCTTTATTGTCCCTTAATCTTTTTGAAGAATCAGCAACCAGTTAGTTATATACAGTAATTGAAAACCAATTGATGGTCTTTCCAACTCACAAAATTTAACTAAACTTTTATGCAAAAAAAAATAATAAAAAAAAAATACAATAAGTAGCCTTCAATTAAAATACACAAATTTCACAAATATATAGTTTGAATTTCTTTTTTTAAAATAAAGGATATGATCAGCTACTTGCGGTTTGAAAAAAAATCACAGTTTAATTGTCAAATGTTATCTTACTTCGTACTTATTCCAAAAATATATGGTGTCTATCTATTGTTCTTTCAAATATAGGAGAAAATTGCCTACTACCGGTCTACATAATGCAATTTCCAGTATCATATTGTAGCTTACATTAAACTTTGAAAAGTATATGGTTCCTATATACTTGAACATAACAGAAGAACAAACAGGCTACTTCCATGTTTACACAATGTCACTTCTGGTTCATATGATAGGTGACTTTTCGCTGATTCCAAAAAAATATGCTTTCTATGTACATGTATCTCCTTTTGAAATACGGGAGATAATTTGCTACTTCCGGTTTAAAAATTATATCCCTTCCTGCATATATGATAAGTCACTTCACGCTGATTCTAAAAATATATGGTTTCAAGGTACTTCAACATGAAATAAGTGCAAGAAATGCTACTTCTAGTTTACTCAATGTCACTTCCGGTTGACATATTGAAGGTTATGTGTTGTTCAACATGAATACAGATCATCATGGTCAAGGGTCTTTCAATCAAATTTGAATGAATTTCACTTTTAAGATGGTACCAAACACCTTGACTAAAATTAATTTGGCTTTTAATTTTCATAAAATTTAGAAAAAATATTTACTTTGACCCTTTGACAAAAATTTAGAAATTTAAAAAAACTTGAACCACACACTTTATCGGATAAATTTCATTGGATTTATAGCAGTTTGACAAACACTAATATTGATAATTGAGAAGATTAATATTTCCTTAACAATAGAACGTGATTAAAACGTTAAGCTGATTTTTACAGAGTTATCTCCCTGTAGTGTTATGTACCACCTTAAGGAATTTTGGATGACGGTTGTGATTATAATCTCTACCTCTCTCGTAATCAGTGGGAAATTTAGTGAAAGAAAAAATCACTCTCCTTATGATAGAGTCGATAAAATCAATAATAAAACAATGCCGGTTACACGGATTTGTAATTACATAAGCAACACGACGGGTGTCACATGTGGAGCACCTGAGATCACCCCCAGTTTTTGGTGGGGTTCGTGTTGCTTAGTCTTTAGTTTTCTATGTTGTGTCATCTAAACTATTATTTGTCTGTTTGTCTTTTTATTTTTGGCCATGGCGTTGTCAGTTTGTTTTCGATCTATGAGTTTGACTATCCCTCTGGTATCTTTCGTCCCTCTTTTACAATACTGATCAAAAGTTAATTATAAATAACAGTTGTACATTTTTTTAAAGAAATTATTTGTTAAACTGTGTCATAAGACGTGCAAATACACGATGTTTTATGTTCAGTATTTATCGAGATAATTGCACTAGAAGCTTGTGAAACTGAAATCTAAA